CCCCAAAACCCCAAAACCCCAAAACCCCAAAACCCCATTAGAATTAGGTGAGATTGAAATTTCCTAGATAAAAATAGTTAAAATATTGCTAATTATTCTTTTGCATTGGCTAATCCTCCAAAGAATTCCCTGATATCTTTGTATAGCTCATTGAACTCAAACTTATCTCCGGATTCTTTGACAAATTCTACTCAATATTTGGGAGCTTTCTCATCGACTTGGAGTACGTTGACTCTTATCTCCATCTCCATCTCAGGATCTTCATCTTCCTCTTCCTTTGCAATTTTCATGGTTGCGCTGTATTGATCGCTAAAAGTTATTTACCCCGTTCAAATTCTAGAAAACTTACTTGTCAATTTTGACCTCATTTCCGTTCTTCTCTGCGAACAGGACGAAGGTGCCCAAGAGTATGTCTGCTTCGGAAGTGGAGAAGAACTGGGTGAACCTCTTCAACTCGGGCATGTAGATAGCTGCCTTCCTTGTACTATTTTCATCGGCACCGAAAGATCTCCAGGTCGTACTTCCCACTGTTGATGGATCTGAACCTGAGAAAGGAACCTCTGAGTCTGGTTGATAGTTCTCTTTTAAGACAGCTGCCTTTTTAAGCTCAATGATCTCCTTCACCTCGTCATGGGTTGGAACAGGCCCATTGAACCACTCATGAGACATAATTTCAGAAATCGATGGGCGTTCCATTGGATTGAAGGCGAAAAGCCATTGTAAAAGATCTCTCAAACTTTCTGAATAGTATCCCTCTTCCTTACTCTTAGAGTGGAAAGCCCAGAAAAGGTCCTGCCTGTTACCTATCAGCAGCCTGTAGTACTGATCATTGTTGGCAGCTTTCAAAAATGGCGGATGTTTTGAATATATCAAAAATGTGATAATCCCGATTGCAAATAAGTCTACGCAATGCCCGTTGTATGCGCAACCCTCTAAAACTTCAGGGGCCATATAATTCAGAGTTCCCTTCTTTGAGAAATTCAGAGCCTTATCTGAGGATAGCCCAAAATCTGCTATTTTCAAATTGTAATCCTGGTCGAACATGATGTTCTCAGGCTTAAGATCTCTATGGCTAACTCCATTTTCATTCAGGTAGGCAAATGTCGTAATCAGTTGTTTAAAATAATATCTAGTAAGTTCTTCACTAAAAGGGCCAGTCTCTGCTAAAAAGTCAAAGAGCTCTCCTCCAGTGGCTAATTCAAGTGCTAAGTAGTAGACTTCCTTGCTGTCTCCATTGGGCTTGATCAAGTTTTCACTCATTGAATAGTTTAACAAATTAACCACATTTGGGTGACTAATGGTTTTCATGACATCTACCTCATTCTGGACAAGCTGGTCCATTGCTTCTTCATGATCAGGGTTCTTGTCCATGATCTTGAGAGCTCAAAGCTCACCGGTCTCCTGATGCTGGCCTAGAAGAACTCTATAGGATTAGGTTGAAAGAATTACACTGAGAAACCTCCTTTCCCAATAACTCTAAGGCATTGATATGGTCCGATTGTTGCCATTTAATAATATATTATAGTTTTTTAGGGACGGGGTTTTGGGGTTTTGGGGTTTTGGGGTTTTGGGGTTTTGGGGTTTTGGGGTTTTGGGG